CGACTGCGGAAGTCCCTCAATGGACTGAAGCAATCACCAAAGGTTTGGTTTGATGAGTTCACAGAGGTGGTAATGGGTCATGATATTTCACAGACTCAATCATATCATACTCCCTTCTTTCGACAATCCTCCAGTGGCAAAATTGCTATCCTTATTGTCTATGTCGACGATATTGTGCTTACAGATGATGATTTACCAGCATTGGAATCTCTGAAAGCTATTTTTTCTACTTCATTTAAAATGATGGACTTGAGGCAACTCCAGTACTTCTTAGACATGGAAATTGCTCGGGCATCTCGGGACATTTGCTTGTCTTAGTGCAAATATGTGTTTGATCTATTGACAAAGAATAACCTTCTCCTTTGCAAATCAGTGACAGTCCCAATGGATCTCAATGAAAAAATTGTTGATGTTCCTAATGTGGTTGTGGTGAACATGACTCACTACCAAAGGCTTGTGGGGAAACTCATCTACTCTCCTCGACATTTGCCACGCAGTAGATATTATGAGTAATTCATGCATAATCCCTATGAGCACCATCTCCGAGCTCTTCATGAGATTATTCACTACTTAAAAGGCACACCGTGCTCAAGTTTATTTTTCTGGCACCACACTTCTCGTTCTATTGTTATTTATATAGATGCAAATTCGGTCGAGTTTGTCCATAATTGGTGATCCACCTCAGGATATTGTTCATCTGTGTGAGGAAATCTTGTCACATGAAAAAACAAAAAATAATTGATTGTGACCCGAAGCAGTGCTGAAGTTGAGTTTCGCTTTATGTCCTTGGGTATCTATGAAGCTCTTTGGTTATGCATCATGCTTCGTAAATTGAGTATGTCAGTCTCTGCTCCTCTCCAATTTTTCTGTGATAATAAAGCAACAATTACTATTGCTTATAATCCGGTCCAGCATGATCGAACTAAGCATGTGGAGATTGACAGACACTTCATTAAAGAGAAGCTCGATTCAAGGGAAACTTGTATTTCATTTGTCCCATTTGATGGTCAAGTAGCAGGTATCCTTACCAAGAATATTTCCCGGCTATTGTTTGACGACTTCAAGTACAAGTTGAATATGATGAATATCTATGTTTCAACTTGAGGGAGAGTATTATCATTATTAACTTAATTATTAGGCTAATTACTATTGCAGTCATCACTATTTGTATGTTTTTTTTTTGCTTTCTTTATTTCTGTTTCCATATTTATGTATTTCCTAGTTGGCCTATTTATAAATTTATATCTTTCTTTTATTTGGATCTTATAATATGTATTTATTTCTCTCTTCCAATCAATAAAAATATGCAGCTATATTCTCTAAAATTTGAAAGGTTTTATAGTTGTTAATGCTTTAAATGGATAAATACCTTTTTGTGGAAAAAAAATTCTTATAAGAATTGCATATAAGATGAACCATATGCAGTCTGTATTGGATTTATAGTTTTTCCATAATTTCGGTGATCCCATATGCAGTCTGCATTATGTTAACCTGGCCATATAATTCCCGCTTTGTTTTTCGTAGAAGACTCCAAATGTTGCTCTGTTCTTGATGTTACGACCATGGGAAGAACATTAATGCATTAAATAAGAGGAGTGCAGTGGCTATGGGTTCCTTTTTTCATTTATAACAGCAAACTAATAAAATTATCCTTTAAAAAATTTATATCATTTTTATACATCATAAAATTGTTTTGTAGTTTAGTCGCATTTTTGGATCTCCTCTAACACATGTATACCATGAACTATTGCAGAATGGCAAGCTATGAAGATTTATCACAAATCAACATTTCTAAAGAGGTTTTGTTAATTAACTTGTCCTTATTCCATTTCCTCTGCAAGCTAATTTACATAAGTCGTCCGCCTCTCATACTTTTAAAGGAAAAAGAGAAGCTGGTTGCCGAAGTTATCCGTTATGTTCTTTTTCGAACCCACCAAGGAAATGGATGCCCCATAAAGAGGGAAGAAATAACCCAATTGATAACTAAAAGCTATCACCAAAGATCTCTTCCAACACTAATCATCAATGAGGCCAAAGAAAAGCTTTCTTTCATCTTTGGCTATGAGATGAAAGAGCTTCAGCGTACACGTCCTTCCTCTAACAGGCAAAGCCGCACTTCTCAGCAGAGTGAGATTTTCGTACTGCATTTAAGTATTCATGTTCAATAAAATTTAATAGCAAGATTTACATGCATATGATCCAATTCTTTTGATTAACATATCTAACACCTAAACTCAATTTTTACATAGATGCCACATTCCTACGCATGAAAAGGCGTATTTCACCTTTTAAAACTTAAAATAGTGTATTTTTTATGTGATATGAAAGATTTGGGTGGTATAATAATTAAAGTTTAGGTGTTATATATGTAAATACATAAGAATTGGGTGGTATGTATGTAAATGCCCCAATATAATAATACTTCATTTAAAACTTATTTTGGATAAAATCAATGCAATATCTTTTAGTATCATTCCTTATTGAACAACAACATGATTGTCACCAAGACGTTGCTATCACTTCAAGTGAACTTTCTTGCAGGCTTTAGGTTAAGAATTGTTGAAGCAATTTGTTAATTATATAAATGTTTTCAGGTGTTGCTGACACAAAATCTTATATACTTGAGAGCCAATTACCTTCTGATATCTACAAAAAATTTGTTGAAGACAAGGGGACATCTCATCTTTCTGGGTTTACATTTGTAGTGACCAGCATCATTCATCTCGCTGGTGGTAAGATCCCCGAAGGTGTGTAAATGCCCCATTACCATTTCTGGGAAAAACGTTCAGCTCTGGCATCAATTTCTATCGGTTATATTTTTGGTCCACTCTTCGTCCTGTCTAATCTTTCATTGCTAATTTTATCTAGTTATATAATTGGTGTAATTTCTACTATTTTTTTTACTTATTCAAATAAAATAAATAATTTGATTAAATAAAAAAGTTTTTCTCTATTAAAATAGCTGTGTTATTCTTATTGTGGTTATTCTTGTTTAAGTTTACCGAAATACCGATTATTTTAAGCTGTACTCTCCAGCTCTATCTCCATTTTACTTTCAAAATATTTGGGTTTTATAGTTAAAGTTTTACATGGATAGATTTACATTTGGTCTTTTTTCAATCTAATTCATTATTCCACGCGCAGAGAACCTTTGGCATCATTTAAGACGGATGGGATTAAGTGAGAGTGATGAGAACCATCCAGTGTTTGGGAACACCAAGCAAACATTGGACTTGCTTGTGCAACAGAGGTTGGCCTCTATTTGGTTACAACTAAAATTTAATGCAGACGTCTTTTGCTTGATATTAAACTGCTATCTTTTTTTTTCTTGAAAAAATATATAGATTTCTACAGAAAGAGAAAACTAATGGCCCTGAGGGAAATGTTATCGTTTATGAGCTTGCTGAGAGAGCATTAGAAGGATCCGTTTATAAGAAGTTGAAAGATTCCATAGTCGAGGTAAATTCCTTAGATCATTATTCTATTTATCTAATTCCTAGAATGTGTGAAATAATATCATTTTATATATGAAGATTAGCCTAAGTAGGTAAAGTATAACCTGGTGCACGATGTTTTGGCCAATTAGAGAGTTGTAGGAATGGGTAGGTGTATGTAACTTTGCCCCTTCTTGCCTCCTTTTCTGAATATCTTTTATGAATATACCTCCTTGCGATAATTTTTGCAGTGCTATATCTTGATGAAAAATAAAATGCATATTGCTATGTTTTGTTTCCAATCTAATGAGCCTTTGAAGTTTCAATTGTAAATCACATTGTTTACTCTTATCAAAGTGATGTGCAAATTAAATAAATTTAGCAGCGACCTAACAATTTTTGTTTATTGATATATTGGAGTTCATGATATTGGCAATTTGGTTGGAGTTGGTATTAAATATGCTGGTTGGAATAAAACTCACCAACCTATGTTGAGTGCAGTAAACTTCGAGCCCACTTTTTTTTTGTTTAATTTCTTTATTTCAGAGAAGGATAAAGTTATTTATGGATTATTGTCTCGAAAGGTTCTTCAATCATTTAATTGAAATCGAACATCAAGGTGTAATATTGTCATGTTTGCTAGTAATCCAAAGTTTTTGTAAGCATAACTAGCTAATACAACATGGTTATATAACAAATTATAACATTTAATGTGAGTATTCTTATAATGCATTAACTAGCTTTAAAAGTATATTTTGTGATTAATATGCTATGTCCATGCTATTAAATATTAAGGAAGCTTCGGATTAACTACTTCCAAGAAAAATAATAGAATAGCATTATCATGGGAAATTGATGACTTATAATTGAGTTAATTAATCATTTTAGAAATAATAGTCCTTCTGAGAATATTGATAGGATGGCTTGGAACTGTTTTTAAGTAATTTCTTTTTTATCATTATACCAGAAGTAATTGGGATGTGGCGTAATACAAAAAAGTAAACTTTTATTAATATAAAAATAGTTATACAACACGACTTAAACAAAAGAAATATATAATAATAGACGAATCCCTAGCTAGAGCTATAAGAAGAGATTCAAAGGCGATAGCGGCTTTGATGGGGTGAGCGGACATTGGGTAGGTAGGGGATTATGGGGTTTATTGTAGGTGGATTGGATGGCGGGATCGTGGAGGAAGTAGGGGTGGCAGTATTGGTGGAGGAATTTGAGGGTGATAGACAACTAGGGGAGTGGTAAGGAAAAGGGGCCGGTGAGTAGTAGCGAAGAAGTTTGAATTTTACTACACCATCTTAGAGCATGATATAATCGAAACACCACTTTGTTGTCAGTTACAACCCTAACAAGAGTGAAGAAATTCCACACAGGAGATTAGAAGACAATTCTAGTAGAACTGCCTCTCACACACTCGGGGGACAACTATTTAAAGCCTCATATTTCTACATAAGAGGAAGGGTGGAAAAGACAAGAAAAATCTAGAACACTTCCCAAAAAAGACCCGATGCGAATAACTCAATTGGTCGTGAGAATTAGCGATCCCTCCCCCTGCCGAGGGTTCTCCAGCCTTCGCGAGATAGCTGGTCTCGCCCGCTTCGTGTTGTTTTGTGGGGCTTCGGCCCCGCGGTTTCAATGCGCCCCTCTTCGGGCACTATTTTGGGCTCGAATTCGAGCGCAGTTCCAATTGCGCCCACGTTTGTCTCCTGGGGTTGAGAAAGCTTCGACCTCGTTTATAGAAGCTCCAGGTTTTTCAGAGTATGGTGTTATGTCTGTGACGTTGAATGTGGCTGAAATGTTGTAGTCTCAGTCAGTTCGATCTTATAAGCATTAGCTTTTGAGGTACTGTGGAAGGTCCATTACCGTCGGTTTAAGCTTTCCAAATGATCTTGTGGGAACTTTGTCCCTTTTCAATCGAATTCATACGAGGTAGCCTTCCTGAAACGTTACTTTCTTCCTGTATTTATTTTCTTGCGCCTGATATTTTTTATTTTGCTTATCAATTTCTTTGCCAACTTCTTCGTGGAGCTTCTGGATCTTGTGAACTCGTTTTGTGGCATCCTTGCTAATTTTCAAAGATGGCAGAAGCGGTACCAATTCAATTTGCTTGAGCGAATTGTACCCGTACACAATCTCGAAGTGAGTTCGTCCTATATTTTTGTTGATGGATCAGTTATAGGCAAGCTCAGTTTGGGCTAGGATGAGATCCCATTATTATTTTTTTCCCACAAAACACCTAAGGAGATTACCGAGGCTATGATTTACTACCTCTGTCCGTCTATCCGTCTATCCGTCTGTTTGTGGATGTGTTGCCATGCTGAATTTGAGTTCGGTGTCGAGCTTTCCCCATAGTGTTCTCAAGAAGTGGCTCAAGAATTTGACATCTTTGTCGGAGGTGGATACCATAAGTAATTGGGATGTGGCGTAATACAAAAAAGTAATCTTTTATTAATATGAAAATAGTTATACTGACTTAAACAAAAGAAATATATAATAATAGACGAATGCAATCTCTCTAAAGTATAGATCGGCGATATTAGAGACGTCTAGTGTCCGGTGGCAGGGTACGAAGTGGGTCATCTTGGAGAATCTGTCTACTACAACCATTATGGAGCCCTTTTCCTTTGATTCCTTGGAAGTCCTAGCACCAAATCCATGGTGACATCCACCCACAGTGCCTTTGGTATTGGAATTTGGTGTGTATAATCGGTTTTCTGAGCTCTTTTCTTGGCCAGATTAAAAATCTTGCATTTGCTTGACATGTTGTTCTACATGTCTTGTTAGTTTTGGTAAAAAAAAAGTTCTCTTACGAGAGCGAGGGTTTTATCTCTGTCGAAATGTCCTGCTAGGTTTCTTCTATGGCCTTCCTGGACAATGACTCGTCTTAGCGAACACCGGGGAATTCACAACTGTCTCTGGTGGAATTAGTAGCCATCTGTGCGGCAATGTTACCCTGTTGGCTTCTCTTGACATTGCTCCCATATGTTTTTGAAATCTTCATCTGTTTCATATAGATCTTTCATGACCTCAAAGCCCACAACTCAAGCATGCATGGATGTGATTAATAAGTGTCGACGACTCAGTGCATTCGCTACTCAGTTCTGGTTTCTTGCCTTGTGTTTAGTCTAAACTGGAATAAAGCTAGAAATTCCATCTAGGCGGCTTTTTGTCCCTTTAGTTTGTTCTGGCTATTGAGAAATTTTAGGGCATCGTGATCTGTAAATAGTGTAACTAGTTCGTCAACAGAATGACTCCAGTGTTTGTTGTGTTAATCTAGTTGTCTCTAGAAATTGTTTATGTATTTTTGCACATTTTTCATGTGGATTAGGAAGTTTTGAAAACCGTTTTGTGGTTAGGTGGTTAGGAAAACCGTTAAGTGGTTAGTTAGTTTTATTTTCAGAAAAATGTGATGTATTTGTTTATAAATTAAATTAGAAAATGTAGAGGGTGAGAACTACTAAAAAAATT